TAAAATATATATATATATATATATATATATATATATATATATATATATATATATATATATATATATATAAACATTGGCATTTAATACGAATGAAATCTGATAGGTAATTAATTTGAATCTTATTTTTTTAGTTTTTATTCTACTGGAAAAAAAATTGCCTTGAACGAGTGTGGCATTATCGTCAGTTGCCAGTATAAAAATCAATAAAGTTTATTTTGTTTATCATCTTCACCACCATCATCATCATCTTCATCACCATCTTCATCATCTTCATCACCATCTTCATCTCCATCATTATCTCCGTTGTTATAATCACCATCATGGCAAACATTTACTCCATTCATTGTCATCCACATTTTTTTAGTTTTCTTTAAAAAGTCAAGATCTGACAAACGCAGACAGAACTGTTACAGCATGCAAGGCAAAATTGCCACGTGTTGTTCGTTGATAATACAAATTATATACAATTTGCACACATTACACAATTATCATATGTACCCAATTATCTGCGTGTATAGTTTGTTATTAAATTTTGCGACGGCTGCTAATTACGTTACTACTGCTGCTACTTACATTATTACTGCCTCGGCTACTACTACCACAAAAACTACAACAGTTGCTAGACAATTCAATCGAATACTGTTTGGATTCATGCATAATAACTCTTTAAATACGTTTGTATGGGATGTTTTGGAGGCATTGCAAGGGAGCATAGCGTGGACTCTCCACTTTTTCTTTGGGCCTACCATTTTTTCAAGGCTACTATCTTTTCAGGGCCCAACATTTTTTGAGTGGCCCACAACCATGTGGTAGTGATGGCGTATGATTGAAAAAGTTTGATTAGATTTCAGTGCGTGAGAGAAAATTAATTACATTGCAATTTTTTGTATTTGTATTGAGTATATATATTTGTATTGAGTGTATTACATATATTGGACATGCGTTTGGATACTTTGAGATATTATAAATGTGTGGATTATGCATGCGTGTGTGGGAGTATTTGTCGATATGTGTGTGAATGCTACTAAATGAAATTTTGTCTGAAGAATCTTTTCCAAGTTATGTCAGCATTTAATTTTGTGCCGTACTTCATTTAATTTTCATTCTACGCAATGTGATGTGGCGTGTATTGTGGTCATTTCTATGTTCTGTAAATAATTTATTATTATTTCATTAATAATAATAATATTATTATTATTTTATTATTTTTATTTTTACTGTTGTTGATTTGTTAAGTATTATTATGATTATATTTTCTGCATTGCAATCAATAATACTCTCGCTTGCTTATTCGTTTGTTCGCCATTTTATTTTTACATATAATTTTTTCATCATTCCGTTTTTGGTGTTTTATATTATAGTTTATGTTTCATTTAATGAAATTAATGAAATGCCTGTTTATTTGACACACACACACACACACACACACACACACACACACACACACATATATATATATATATATATATATATATATATATACACACGCTCACGCACACACTCATGCACTTAATATACACACAGATACACATATTCACACATAGACATACACACGCATTTCATAATTACCTATACACATGTACACACACAGCTATACACACACATTCACATATACGTAAACATACACATCAAGGTTGTTGACAGTACGCAGAAATTGTATCGCCAATGACGATGCCGGCTTTAAAATGTATTGTCGATACCAACACGGGTACTTATTTGCGATACTTTTACTTTTTTTTTAAAGGTACTACAAGAGCTGGAACTAACATTTCATCCATAATAATATCGTAAAGGCCTGGAACGAGCTGAGCGATGAAAATGTTTCAGTGGGTCCAATCAACAATTTTAAAATCAAGCTAGGAGAGCTAGGATACTAGGACATTTATTTTTTAGTGGTTCTTACACGGATGCTCGCCTGCTGAACCACCACTTTAAACTTTGTTATTATTGTTATAATAATGCATCTGGTTCTGGTAGTTAAAATTTCACAATCACGTTTTAGCCATCAAGTTTGGAGTTTGAAAATGATTTGATATTTACGTCCAGGTCTGGATTTTGAGGTCTTGATGTCATGGAGCAACAAAATTCGAAGTTCCTTTTTTTAGAATAAAAAAGACAATTAATTTTGTCAAGTCATTCATGAATTCACTGCCAACAGATACGACGTCTTGAGATCACATAAGGAACAGCATGGACAAATTAAGCTCTTAAAAACAAACATGTTTAAGGCGGCAAGACTTAATTTTAAATCCCGTATTGACTGATTAGAAAACGCGCTTAACTTCGACAATTGAAATTATCATCAACACAAATATGTCCAATTGACGTTCAAAAGTATCGAGTACCGATTTTTTTTTGTCTAAAACAGGGCTGGACAAACTTTTTGCGGTGAGGGCCGCATTGGGGACTATTTTACCTTTGAAGGGCGGCACATGTACTTAAATAGCAAATTTTTTCGACCCGGGGGAGAAATTTTTAAGATTTGTGGCTTCTTTTTTTTGTTCATAATGTCTGGCTGACGACCTTTTTTGGCGAAGAAGGCTTTGCGGGCAGTATAAAATAGCTTTGCGGGCCGTTGTTTGCCCACCTCTGGTCTAAAAAGTATTGGCGATATCAATTAAATTTTCGATACCAAAGCCAGTATTGAAATAATGTCTCCGATACAATCTCTGCGATGGCGATACTTCGATAGAAATGACCTTGATTTTTACACACACTTTTCCCACGTACTGTTATTAAATTTTAAATGTTTAAGTTTGATCATGACGATGTTATTTTTTGGTTACTATCACAATTCATTTCTCTGCATTATTGTTATCGTAGTCATTATCACTGCTATCTTCCTCATTATATCATCGTTAGGATTGTCATCATTATTATTATCATCATCGTCGTCGTCGTCCTCAACCATATATATCATCATCATCGTCGTCGTATATTTATTTACAATTAATTTTGTTCGTTACTTGAATTTTTGGAATTTCCAGTTTGTTAAAATGTATAATTTCATGATCTCCCAAGTTTCCCTTTCTTTCTCGCTTTCTCTTTTCCTCTCTCTCTCTCTCTCTCTCTCTCTCTCTCTCTCTCTCCTTTTCTCACTCGCACGGCATAAGCAGACACACACAGTCAATTCATTTTTATTACTCTCATTGTTTACATCCACTTATTAAAAGTTCATTCAAAATTTGTTTCTATGTGCAATAGACGACGCGTTTAACTGCACGGTCTGATCTAACCTTGTCATTGGTTGGTTCCTTCTCATTTTGTATCTTTGTGTATTTTTTGTATATTTTTTTGTATCTTAGTTCTTTTTTAATAAAAAAAATTGACTAATACAAACAGTCATACACTCGTACATATACGTCGTACATGTATACATATTACTGTTTTAATCGTCTTATTGTACGTTCGAATTTAACAATTTCATTAATTGTTATTGTGTTTTTTTCTATTCTTGTATAGATTACAATATGCATGTAAGTATGTATGTATGTATGTATGTATGTATGTATGTATGTATGTATGTATGTATGTATGTATGTATGTATGTATGTATGTATGTATGTATGTATGTATGTTAAAACCAAATCATTGACGAATGACACCAAAAGCCAAGCGTCTGACTAAATTTGATTTTATTTGCAAATGTATGTATGTATGTATGTATGTATATATATATATATATATATATATATATATGCGCGTTTGTTTGTGTGTGTACTTATTTACATGTGTGTGTATATTTATTTTCATACACGTATGTGTGTTTTCTGTTTATGTATGAATATAATAGTATACTTAATTGTAGGTATGTTGGTGTTGTTAGACTTTAATTAAACTCTTAACTTATCTAAGTAGTAACTTAACTGGTTTTTTTTTCTTAAATAACACCTCTAAATGGCAATAATTAAACTGGGGCGTTAAGTTTTTATCTTTTATACTAATTAATAATAATAATATTTTATTATTAATTATGGCAACATTGCTACAGATTATTGATTTAAATTAAGTAAGTAAATTAAGTGTGTGTGTGTGTGGTGTGTGTGTGTGTGTGTGGTGTGTGTGTGTGTATGGTGTGTGTGTGTGTGTTGACATAAGTATGCTTTTAATTCAACATTTTTATGAGTCAAATGTTGGTGGTGATTTGATGTTTTTATTGTCTAAACAAATATACTATTAGGTTATAGAGTATATTTTAATTATATATATATATATATATATATATATAATATAATTATTTGTATAAAATTATAACTATGCGTATATTTTTGTTTATGTATGTGTGTAGATATAATGATGTGTATCAGTTGCGCGCTGAAACATAATGAAACATAATTCACCTCAGTCATACGTTGTATCTTTGCCCCTATCTACATTGCAGTTCTCTGATTTTTTTCCAATGTTTAACTGTTAAAACCTCATTATATTATAGTGTATACCTGTGTTTATGTGTCTATTTGTCTGTCTGTATCTCTGTATGTACGATAGTATGTATGAATGTCTGTGTATGTGTATGTATCAAATTTACGAAAGAGTGTTTGTTTATGCGTATGTATGTGTGCGATAGTTTACGCCGTACAAAATATTTATGGTTTATGTGCCCATGATTTGTTGGTTTTAAGTTAAACCAAATTTTTTTAGTTCGTTCTTAATTTAACTAAGATTATTTAGTTAAGTTTGTGATACGTTAAAACTAATTTGATATCATTCTTTTGTCATATCTATCTATGTGTTTTTAATTTATAATTTTATTGGAAGTTTTTATGTGTTACAATTAGAATATGATAATAACGATGATGGTGGTAACTTTTAAATGATTTTGTAACTGTGAACGTGTCAAACTAGTAACATTTATCGGTTGCAGAACGTTTGCGAAATGTGAGAACCAGAAAACAATTGCGATGATGTTGATTTTGTATGTATGCATGCGTTCGTGTTTATGTATGTATGTATGTTTATTTGTTTGTTTGTTTTGTATGCTGGTCTGTTTGTATGCATTTGAAATTATTTATCGTTTGTCAAAAGCAGCTTATAATTATTTTTTTTGTTTTCATGTTGGCATATCTCATTTTATTATAGTTAATGTTCTGAAATTTTATAAATCTTTTCTAAATTGGTGTGAAGTTTGTTGTACAATCTCCATTTCATGTTCACCAGATTTTCATTATAAAATAATTGTTCACAAATGGTTGTTTGGTTTAATTTTTCAAGAAAATTTAAAACTGGAGCTTATTTCTTTTTCGGTTTAATAAATCGTGAGCAAGATTAGTTTTAAAGTTCTATGCTGAGCTGTCAACAAGTTGGATAGCTATCTATATCTTATCTATGTCCTTCTTAAGCACATTAAGTTACGTGCGAGTTTTAACATATTTTAATTTAATTAAGTTTAAAATTATTTTTTAAAACATCAAAAGGTAGCTATTTATTTGTACAAAAACTAGAAAATGTCGTCCGCTCTTTTACCGCTTTTCACACAAACGCGGACGGAGACAACCACAAGTAGATCGGTACTTTGTTCACAAATGTGCAGACGTGTTTTAAAATTACGAGAAAAAAATCTGGTAATTTTAATATTTGCCTTCTTCACGCTGGCTTGCTTCGGAGGGACATTTTTTCTGCCTGATTTTTGGGATTTGGGTGGCAGTGAGAAGTTGAGCGCCCACGTTCCAGTGCGCATGTTTGTGCCCGACGCCGGTGCCCACGGACAAGGTGTGGACGGCGATGTACATAAAAAAGATGATTCCGACCGCCTCTGGGATAAAATCAGGAAGAACTTTTTAGCGAAACCCCCACTGACTGTTAGGCGGGATGAGGAACAATTTCCCGTCACTCCATCACCTCTTCCAGCTAATCCTTCTCTTAATAAGAAAAAGTCTGATGGTGTTGGTGGTGGTGGAGGTCCGTCAGTTGGAAGATCTGCTGATGATGAGGAGAGCAAGATGAGGAGAATGAAGATTGTGCAAGTTTGTTTTTACTTTGCTGTGCTGCATTATTTAGTTGATTTTTCCTTAATATTTAATAACCATGTCGTGTTGTTTAATTAACTTTCAATAAATATTTTATTATTGTGATCAAACGATGCCAAATATTGACTTTTTACAATTTAAACTAGTCGGTTTTGTAATTTAGGAATATGCTTATTAAATAACCACTGATTTTGATTATTATTATAATTAGTAAATGTTATATTCAAAGTCTACTAAATAACTAAAACCTTAATCAGTTTTTAGTTTTATCTGTTATTTGTTGTTAGATTAATTAATATTAAACAATTATTAACATAAAATATCATTCATGCTATTTTTGGATGTACTTTCATAGCTAGCTAATGTTATTTATTTGTTATATATCTCTTTAGTTTTTTTTTGTCATTTCTATAATCAATAAGTTTACTGAATTTAAAATATTTTTAATAAAATTTATTTTATTGAAAAAAATTTAATTAATTTTCAAATTTATTAATCCGTAATAAGTATTCAATCCAGATCAGCCGCGCTCAAGCTTAAAAAATTACTTCCTTATTTTAAATGGTTTATTATATAGTAATTAACTCTCTTTTTTATTTCAACAACTTTTAATTCATTTTTTTATACGTAATTAATTTTTACCTTTCCATAACCAACATTTTTTTCCCTGACAGTAACCAGTACTAAATAATTTTTATCACTCCATCACATTTTCCACCATCATTCCCCTGACCTCATGCAGATGATGCAACATGCCTGGAGCATGTACGAGAAACATGCCTGGGGCGAGAACGAACTGAAGCCCATCTCTAAAAGAGGCCACTCTGCCAATATTTTTGGCCACTCGAAAATGGGGGCGACGATTGTTGACGGGTTGGACACTCTTTATTTGATGGGTCTCACAGAGGAGTTCGCCAGGGGCAGGCAGTGGGTAAAGGAGTCGTTCAGATTTGAAGCTGTTAGTTGAATGTTTGATTGGTTGGTTGATTGGTTGCTTAATGGCAGTTAGTTGGATGTAGAAAGTTTTATTGATTGATTGATTGATTGATTGATTGATTGATTGATTGATTGATTGATTGATTGATTGATTGATTGATTGATTGATTGATTGATTGATTGATTGATTGATTGATTGATTGGCTGTTTGAGAAATGATTCTCTGAAATGTCAGGTCGATTGAGTTGATTGTTTTTACTGGCTGACTTGCTGGCTGGCCGACTGACTGGTTTATTAAAAATCAGAATTCAGATATATCAGTGTTTGAAGTAAACATCAGATTTGTTGGAGGTCTACTGGCTTGCTATGCACTCTCCAAAGATGCTGTTTGTATCTTTTTGTATTTTTTTGTATGCTTGTGTGTGCAGTTATTTTTATGTGATTGCTTTTGTTTGTGTGTGTGTGTTTGTATTTTTATTATGTATTTGTATATGATTGTTTTTGTGGGATTGCACGTTTATTTCTGAGTGTGTTTGTGAGTGTGTGTGTTTGTGAGTGTGTGTGTGTTTGTGTGTATGCATTGTGTTCATGTATGTAATGTACTATGTATGGGATTGTCTGTGTGCCATTGTATGTGCTCTGTGTATTTTTTAGCGGATGTGTTTGTTTGTTTGTAAGCATGTATGTATATTTTTATATGTATTTGTTTATTTAGCTTGCTTTTTTGAGGTTGAATTGACCTTTTTTTTATGTGATATTTTTGAAAAATATAAATGTTTGCTTATTCTATAATCTATCCATGGATAGAGACACATGTGCTGGTGCCTATGTTTATTTACATAAATATCTCAAGCACCGTGTTGTATATATTTCAACTGTTTGGTTTATGTTGAAGGGGTTAAATAATTTTTTGTTTGGTTGTCTGTCTGGTTGTGTCTGTCTGTTTATCTGTCTGTTTGTTTGTCTGTTTGTTTGTTTAGCTACTATGTGTAATTGTGCATCTGCTTGTCATCTGTGTTTGTTACCATTGAATAGTTTATGTATTGCCTATTAGTAAATAATAATAATAATGCCATTTTATATAGCGCCGCCATGGCAAGCGACTGATGCGCATAACCATTATGCAAATAAACGCATCACACACGCATACAAGATCCCCGCCTATCACATTGCATGTGATAGGCGGGGATCTTTTTGCATTCGAACCCGGACACTGCATCAGCAATGCCAGGCACCTTAGTCATTACACCCTTGCACCGCCTTAGTAAATACTAAAATTTGCACGTTTGAATGTATGGTTGCATTTTTTGCGGCTAGTTTTGTTTGTGATCTTGTTGATGATGATGACGACGACGATGATGATAATGATAAGATAATTATGATGAGGGTGATGATATTGGTGATGATGATGACGATGATGATGAGGATTCAGAGAGAGTTGTTGGAAATGATGATCTATCTGTCTGTCTGTTTGTTTGTTTAGCTACTATGTGGATGTAATTTTAATTGACTGATGATTATACTTATAGTGACAATACTGATATGAATAACAAATAATTTGATAAATAATAATCGGAGTAATTATTGTTATTATTTCATAATTTTATTGAATATTTAGCTGTAAATAATTAAATTCAATGACATTTAGAGACGACCTTATAACAATCCATCAATAACATGAACACCTTAATATTAATATGTTATTGCTACTTTATTATTATTATAGTTGTTTATTATTATTATGGTTGTTATTATCATTGTTGTTGTTGTTGTTGTTGTTGTTTCTATTGTTATTGCTATTTTTATTGGATATGAGTTTTTCAATGATAAAATTTTTCTTATAATGAGCAGGTTGTTATTGATCTAACAATGATTTTCTTGTTTTTTCTATCTTTCTTTTTTTCTCTCTTTCCTCTCTCTCTCTCTCTCTCTCTCTCTCTCTCTCTCTCTCTCTCTCTCTCTCTCTCTCTCTCTCTCTCTCTCTCTCTCTCTTAGTCTCTGGTGATAAATTTGATAGTTATCTTCATGTTGGATTAGATATTTTTTATTAGGTTGGTGCGAAAATAATGACAATCCACTTTAAAATGTCTACCTTGTCTTCTCTTTAATATATTCAACCAAAATAAAAACCAGTGCAATTTACCCTCTCTGGTCTGCCAGCAAGAAGAAGTAAATTTTTCTGACACATCACAACGATGAAGTTTCTGGCTTAAATTTCTGGCTCATAAGAGGCTTCTATTTATCATGCTTTTTTGGCCTTACCATTTTGTTTGAATGACGAGCTACTGCTGTGTGATGATCAACCTTTAATTTTTTTTTGAGTCCACAAAAAATTATTTCAATAAGAAAAAAATTTGCCAAAAAAAGTTGAACAGTTGTCTGAGATTTGTTTACAGAATATTATGGAGGGTTCAATGCATTGTGACATTGATAAGGAGATCGAGATTGCGGTGGTATGGACATGTGTTGAGAAGGGATGAAAGGGTCGGGATTAGGCGAGCGTTGGAGTTCAAGGTTGAAGGAGTGATAGGAAAGGAGTCGTCCGCGATTGGTATGGAGAGAGCAGGTGGAGAAGGACAGAGTGAAAGCGGGGGGTTGCGTGATACTGAGGCGAGTGACAGATGTGAATGGCGTCGAGGGGCATTTCGGTTTCATCATAGGTAGCCAAACGGCAACCCCTGATCTCGGGGAAAATGTCGTCTAAACGTGTGTTGTTGTTGCTGTTGTTGTTCAATGCATTCATTACAAAACGCTCCCACTTCTATGGAGTAGTTGTTGTCAGTTTTTCAATCATGTTTTAAAGTGTCTTTTGATATTTTGTTAAAAAACCATTTATAATAGAAAAAAATTTGCCAAAATAAAGTTGAACGATTGCATGAAATTTATTAAAAGATTGTTATAGCAGATTTAAAGTTGCTATACATTTTTAGATGATCAGATCAGTTTTGTGCCAACTGAACATACACACACACATCACATTCATTATTTTTTACTTTTACTTGGGATTGTCTTCTTCCTTCATCTTGTATTTTCTTCCCTTCACACTTTGTTGTTTTAATAGTATGCTTGTTGCCATTTATCATGTTTCAACTTTCCAACAGGTTTTCAAGGACAAAGCAGTTGAAATAGCTGACAAACTACTTCCTGCTTTTGAAACTGAAACTGGAATTCCGTACGCTATCCTTAACCTTCAGACGTTAGTTTCACTTTACGTTGAGTTGGTTTTCTGGTTTGGCTGGCAATCTAACAAACACTAATTTTTATTGCCATAACTTATTTACTTTTGTTCTTTCATTTGTAAAAAGAGATATGATTGTTTTTATCATGGTGGTTGTAGTCGGGCAAAAATTATCTGACTCCTGCCCCATAAAATTCCTACTTTTTCCGTGACTCCAGGTAAAAATTTTCAAATTTCTGGCTACGACTCTGCCCAGAAAAATTGATAAACTTTTCCATGATAATTTTGCTTAAATATCACTGTTAGATAATAATACTATAACAATACTTGAGATCAATCAGTCCCTGAAATTGCTTTTATTAATAAAGTTGATTTATGTTCATGTTTTAAAACATACTGAAAAAATTACGTGATTTTATTCACATTATTAGCGTTTATTTGCAGTATTCAAAATAATAAATTTTTTTTTAAATTCATAACGTCTTCCAAAGTCTTGGAGTCATTTGACTCCAGCAAAAATTGATTGATTGATTGAATGTATGAATGAATGAATGAATGAATGAATGAATGAATGACTAAGTGTGTGAATGAATAAATGAACTAACTGAATAAATAAATAAAAGAATGAATGATTAAATGAATGAATGACTGACTGAATGAATGAATTGACTGACTGAATGAATTGTCTACCGAATTGTTAACTTTTAAATTGACAAAACCGCAGTGGATCTCGCAAAAACTGGTCCTGGGCCAGTGGTGGCTGTTCGATACTTTCAGAATTCGGGACACTTCATCTGGAGTTTGCGTACCTTAGCAACATAACTGGAAACCCTGTCTATCTGCAGAAGGTCTGATTGTTGTTGGTGGGGCTGCTGGTGGTGGTGGTAGTGGTGGTGTTGGTGGAGATGTTTGACGTTTGTGTTTGTTTATTCATTGCTATTCCCATGACAATTTCTATGATATCTTCTAATTTATTTATGTAGTTATTGTAGCCATTTATCAGTGGTGTTATCAATATGTATTGGAAGATGGTGAAGTTAATATTGCTGTTTAATATTTGAGATTTTACTGCATGATGTTTTTGCTTCGTTTATATGTAAAAATTTTCATAGAATGCTTGTTATGAATCTATGTGCATCCAACATTAACATATGACAATGTTTTTATTAAGTAATTTATTTATTAATTTATTAATTAAATAATTTATTTATTTATTTATTTATTACAATTCTCTTTTCTATATTTCTTAATTGCATCAGCAACAAACACACAGCGCATGTAAATACACTGGAAATATCTATCGAAGTATCTTGTATCTTTGTACAAACATCTTGTATGTTTGTATCCAACAACATCAGCAACAACAACAACGAAATATCAACAGCAGAATCTAAAATCTAGTCATCTTTATTTTGTGTCTGTAATGTGGTTTTCAATGTCTTATGTATCTTATGATGTATTGGTATGTGGAAGATGAAAATAGTCTCCTCTTTTTCTCTCTTTCTTTCTTTCTTCATCTTCAGCCCTCTTCCTCTCTCTCTCTCTCTCTCTCTCTCCTTTTTGGCTATCTCTTCTTTATTCTCTTTCTTCATTTGTATGTATGTATGCGGTTTGTGCGTGTGAGCCTGTCTGTAGCCTCACGCGCTTAAATTTCTTGTATATTAAAATAACTCCATTGATTGGCCTCTTTCCTGTTTAGACATGTTTGGAGATTGTAGGAGGGAAATGAAATGACTGTTCCATGCATATGTTGTTGTATACATTATACATGTACATCATCTGATACGAAACATTTCTAATCAATATATCATAGTCGTCTTCGTCTTAATTACTGTTGTCGTCATCGTCGTTGTCGTCATCACAATTATCACCATTAGGATTACTATCCATAATTACTATCCTAACTATAATTATCATCTCAATTATTGCCATAATTAATTATGTCTGTAATTAGTTTCATAATTGGTAGCGTCATAATTTTATTTTAGGCGATATTAATGGTAATTTATTTTCAAGACAGTGTAATTAAATGCGGTCTGCCCATTGTTACATAAGTGGCCTGCATACCTATGTAGATACACTTAGAGGTATGCATTTAAAGGAGGAAAGAAAGTTTTGCTGGAAAATAAAAATTCATTGAAACGTGATAAAAAAAAATGAAATAAAATATCATCCTAATTATATGAGTAAAATGATGATGATGTGATTATTTTTTTCATAATTTTATGGACTACTCACGTAGTATGCTGTGTGATGATAACAGATGAACTACTGTATGGAATCAACCAGCTGGTCTGTTTCAAATGTTTAAACTGGCAACATTTCAAATGTCTTAATTTCAGTTTCAGCAGTTTGGATCAAATTCTTGTTATGAAAATGAACGAAAGAATGCATTTAGCTGTCTTGTATATCTTTGATGAGTTAGACAAGTTAATACTACTACTACTACCTCTACTACTACTACCTCTACTACTACTACTACTACCACTACTACTGCTACTACTACTAGTACTACGGACATATGGACATCATTATCATCAACGCTTGTCATCATTATCATCGTCGACCAATCAGGTGACGAGGATTCGTGAGTACATCTCGAAGATGGAACGACAAGATGGCGTCTACCCCAACTACCTCCACCCATCCACTGGCAGGTGGGGGCAAAGTGAGTTGATGATGATGATGATGTTTGGATAGTGGTGATGATGGTGATGTCTTGGTGTTTATAATGACGATAATGATAATTGTGTGATGATGAGGTTTGAATGATGATGATTGTTGTTTTAAATAATTAAATAATATGTACCTGTGTTCCTTCATGTCTCTTGTGTGGGTATGCCTGTTTAAGTTTGATGTGACTGCGTGTTTGCGTGTGTGCTTGTGTTTTTGTATGTTTGTGTGTGTGTGTGCATCTGTGTAAGTGCGTGTGTGAATGTCTGTCGTGCTTGCTATGCAGAGTAGCTTAGAGTAATGTAATTTAATGTTAATTTATTCATACTTGTCACAATATTATGCAAATTTATTCACGACAAATGTGTACAATTTGACGAAGGACATACGTCGTTGGGTGCACTGGGGGATTCATTTTATGAATACTTATTGAAATCATGGCTGCAGAATAAAACTGACGCCCTGGCCAAATCTATGTATGATGAGGCCATGAAGGTGAGTAATGATGGTGAAGATAGTCTGGTGTGATGATGGTGAAGATAGTCTGGTGTGATTATGATGAAGATAGTCTGGTGTGATGATGGTGAAGATAGTCTGGTGTGATTATGATGAAGATAGTCTGGTGTGATGATGGTGAAGATAGTCTGGTGTGATTATGATGAAGATAGTCTGGTGTGATGATGGTGAAGATAGTCTGGTGTGATGATGGTGAAGATAGTCTGGTATGATGATGGTGAAGATAGCCTGGTGTGATGATGGTGAAGATAGCCTGGTGTGATTATGATGTGATAACCTGGAGATAGCCTAATGTGATAATGACAATGATATAATGATGATGGTGGTCTAGTGATAGACATACACACGCACATACATACACACAGACACATATATACATGCATATATTCGTACGTACGTACATACATACATACATACATACACGTGCATATGTATCGTACACAAATTCATGTAGACAGTCATGGACAGGCTACTTCAGACATCTCGAAACGGCCTTGTGTACTTTGCAGAGATGAAGAATGGAAGACTGGAACATAAGATGGATCATCTGGCTTGCTTCACTGGTCAGCTGATTGATTGACGACTGGCTGATTGGTTGGAGGAATGATTCATAATTATATTTTAAAAAGAGTCACCTACCCACCCACACAGGGGGTATGATAGGGCTGGGGGCAGAACACTCAGATGACAAGGAAAAACACATGAAAGTGGCCAAGGACATTGGCAAGACGTGCTATGAATCATATGATAGGACTGGTTTGTAATGATGAGGATGGTGGTCATGGTGGTGATGTTGGAATGATGATGGCTTGAAGATGATTGAAGATGACGCTGATATGTGTGCTTGATTGTGGTGATGATGATGATGGCGATGCGTTCTAGGTGATAGAATTCTGAGAGCTGGGTAATGGTGCTGATAATAATGTTGAAAAGGTTTGAGAGGATGTTGATGATGAGGATGATGATGAGAAGGAAGATGATCATCTACTTTGTGATTATAACACGATGATGATGTTGTTGTTTGAAATTACTACTAAATGGAAGACAAACGAACAATGTTTGTGTTTATAGTTACGATATCATTATGATATCATCATGATATCATCATATCACCATCATGATACAGATTATGATGATATTATAAATTATAATGGTGATTAAGCACCATATTCGTGGATGATATTGATAAATTACTAAATTTCTGGTATGAATGTGCTATGGGCAGATATAAATGAGAAAACTATTTTTTATATAAATTTCATCAACTTTTTTCAACTACATCATCATCATCATCACCTCTATCATTGAGAGTAGGTCTATTTATCATCATCATCCAGGAGAAATGCTATCAGTTAAACGGTTGTTGAGTTTTAAAATAATAAACTTTGATAAGAGTGAATTTAAATATTTAGCTTATTTAAAGCTCACATCAAACTCTTTGGAGGATGATGATGAGGATAATGATGTTGATGATGATAACAACAACAATATTATTATTATCATTATTATTATAATTATTAATGATTGTTGCAATGGTAATGGTGACGATATGATTGTGATGATAGTTTGGATGAGGTTATCATTCATCCATTAAATTTATATCAATTTTGTGTTGCTGGACGACACGAGAAGATATTTCTAACGAGGGAACAAGACAACAATCTTACTGCACACTTTCTTTTCATTCTTCCACATCTTCTCAGTCGCTCACCATACTCTCTCCTTTCTCTCTCTCACTCTCTTTTCCTCATTTTTTCCTCTTTCTTTTTTTTCTCTTTCATATCTCTCTCTCTCTCTCTCATTTCTCTCTCTTTCTCTCTCATTTCTCTCTCTTTCTCTCTCATTTCGCTTTTTCTTTCCCTCTCTTGGTTCTCATTTTTCTCTACCATCTCGCACCTCTTCATCCTTCTTGTCCCATCATCATCATACTTTTTCTCTCCATCTTCATATCTCCAGCTACCAAACTTGGTCCAGAAGCCTTCAGATTTGAGGACAGTTCAGAGGCGACGACGACAAGAAGCCAGGAGAAGTACTACATCCTGAGGCCTGAGGTCATCGAGACCTACTTCTACCTGTGGAGACTGACCAAGAACAACATGTACAGGGAGTGGGGGTGGCAGGCTGCCCAGGTTTGTTCCTTGTTCTTACTTTTTATTATTTTATAACAAACAAAAGAGCAAACTAATATGCAAACAAACATACATGCATACAAACAAAGAAACAAACATGCAAGCAAACAAATATGAAAGTAATGAAATTTAGAAACGCCACAGCAGCAACAAGATCTTACAAGCAGCAGCGTTTCACGTCATCTATAAACAATGACAGCAATTGACAAACATTAGCATCAACAAACTACAACGCCAGCGAACTATGATATCTTTTCACATCAACAAATAAAACCACACGCCAACAAGCCACATCTCACGTCAGCAAACAAACAAACAACATCATTAACAAAACAACTTCTGACGTCAACTAAGAACATTATTAAAGAAACAATAACAACAACTTCTGACATCAGCAAACAAACAAACAAACAAACAACAACATTAACAAAACAACAACAACAACATCTGACATCAACAAACAAACAAACAACAACATTAACAAAACAACAACAACATCTGACATCAACAAACAAACAAACAACAACATTAACAACAACAACTTCTGACATCAACAAACAACAACAACCCTTACATTAACAGGCGTTAGAAAAACACTGCCTAATAAAAGACGGAGGTTACACGGGCATAAAGGATGTTTACGACGCTCACTCTGCTAAGGATGACGTCCAGCAGAGTTTCTTCCTGGCCGAGACCCTGAAATACCTCTACCTCTTATTCTCACCCGACTCTACGCTCGATTTGGACAGGTGGGTCCTCAACACAGAGGCACATCCACTGCCTGTACTTGTATGAATCTGTCTTCTGTGTGTGTGTGTGTCTTGTGTGTGTGTGTCTTGTGTGTGTGTTTGTATGTGTGTGCGTGTCTTTGTGTCTATGCGTGTTTGTGTGTGTGTATACCGTATACCTTCTGTTCCTGCATATTTGTCTGTCTGTTTGTTTGTCTCTGTTTACCTATTAAAGTAGATGTTTGCACTGTGTGAGCCTATGTATCCATGTATGTATATGTGGTTTGCACGCCGTGTTTGTATGTGTGGGTTTGGTCATGTGTGACGGTTAGTTGCATCGGGACACGAACCTTAAATAAGCAACTTCTACTCTGCACTGTGTTTCTCTATTTTAGTTTTCCAACGTGTTGTTATTGCGTACATCATCATGATGATGATGTTCGCGATGATGATGATGATGTTCGCGATGGTGATGATAATGAGGGTGATGATGTTTTTTTCTCTTTAAATTCAATTCTTTCTTGTCAACGGGTGGGTGCTAGGCAATTGCTATTTGTTTTCTTTGCTGTGCGTGTGTGTGTGTGTGTGTGTGCTTTAGCTGCTGCGTGAATGAATGAATGAATGGTGAATGAATGAGAGAAAATAAAAAGAATAACTAAATGAAATTCTGTATGAATGTGTTGTGTATATATATGATTGTACCTGTTTAGTTTCCCGATGGTATTGTATATTGTTCGTCATATACTTATGTGTACAGATGTATATACACGCGCATACATACAAACACGCCCACATACATACATGCACACGTACATACATACATACATACATACATCAATTTATACAGTAATTTTTAAACAGTCTAATTTTTATTATTAAAAAAATTGTTTTTTTTTAAACTTTATAACATTTTTCATTTATATATTTTCTGTATTTATTAATTTATTTATTTTATTTTTTAGTCTAAGGTGGGAGTATACGTATCAATGATATATTGTCTATCTATCTGTCTGTCTATCTATCTATCTATCTATCTATCTATCTATCTATCTATCTATCTATCTATCTATCTATCTATCTATCTATCTATGATCTATGTATTATGTATCCATCTGTTAATGTATCACACACACACACATTAGATATATGATGAAGTTGTATATAAGTATGCCTACATGGGACGTCACCAATCAATCAAACAATGTATTTATTAATTCACTATTTATTTATTTATTTATTTTTAATTAATTTTTTATTTATTTGCAATTAATAATTTTTTAATAATTTTTTTAATTATAATAAAATTTCCAATTTTAATCGATATGTACCTTAACTTCAAATATTTCTATTACTACTGCTTACTGCTGCTGTTACAACTTCTATTATTACTGCTACTACTGCTGCTGCTACTACTACTGCTACTACTACGAATAATAATAATACTATTACAACGATTACTTCTACTACTGCTGCTACTACTTCTCCTCATGTCATATTGCCCTGCTGTCTGGAATGGTTCGCCTAGGCATTTTCGTGATCCTGCGTGGTCTGTTATTCAAATTGGTGGAAGGCTGAAACACCATCTTTTTGTCCGAGCTTACTTACCCGGGCTAATGTCTTTTTCTCTCCATTTCACTGCATCGCTCCGGTGAAGCGCTACTGCAATAATCGTTAGCGCCTCTGAGATCTCTTTTAAGGGCGCTTACAAACGCACCACTAATAATAATAATAATAATAATGGTGATAATAATAATAATAATAATAATAATAATTACAATGTCATTACTCTTATTGTTACTGTTACTATTACTAATGCAATCATCGCTACAATTGTGGATACTACTGCTACTATGGCTCTTACTACTACTACCACCGTGACTACTACTACTACTACCGTGACTACTACTACTACCACTGTGACTACTACTACTACCACCGTGACTACTACTACTACCACCGTGACTACTACTACTACCACTACTACTTTTAAAACTACTTTTGTCGCTACTACTTCTGCTACTACTGTTAATAATATCTGCAATATTGGAATATTTAATTTTTTATGCTATAAATTTGTAGACGTATGAACGGGTCGTTAGTTCAATTCCAGCTTAAGTAATTCATCAGTCGCCAGACTTAACGCGACTTAAATGCTGATGATGGAGATATTTTTATTATTGCTCTTCTCATTGAATAGATAGTTGTATGCATTTTTTTCTTGTGCTATTTAAGTTATCCTGTGTACTGGTTTTCCTGTGTTTGCTCATGAGCTTTTTAGACTAAAGAATTGTTTTCACAATTTAAACCATAAAACTATGTATGTGTGTTTGTTTGTATGTGTGTTTGTTTGTTTGTTTGTATGTATGTGTGTTAGTGCACCTGTGTATGTGCCGATATTAATGTAATTGTGTGTGTATGTATGTGTGTGTGTATGCCTGTGTATGTATGTTGGTATGTGAGCGTGGTTTTTGTAACTACATATATATGTATTGTATATAATTTAAATGTGTATATACGTGTCATATTTTTGTATATATATAATTTGTATGTATCTGTCTTAAATAACATGTTTGTATATTAGTCTCGTGTTTGTTTTTGTATGTAGTTTGTTTTGTACGCTTGCAGGCATACCTGTTAGTAATACCCTGTACATAAGATTATACATCTTTTATCAGTGCGTCGACGAGACGATAATGATAGTAATAATGATAATAATAATAATAACGTCATTTATGTAGCGCTCTGTTTAAATATGTCTAACACGTTATATTATTATGTTGATGATGCGTGCGTGTGTGTGTGTGTGTGTGTGTGTGTGTGTGTGTGTGTGTGTGTGTGTGTGTGTGCGGGTATTTTGCGTTACCGTTCTTTTAAGAAAGTAACTATGAATATACGTAATATATTTGTATAACAATAATTACATTATATGTGCGTGTATGTGTGTGTGTGCGTGTGTGTGTGATCTTTAATCGTAATTGTTATATCATAATATTGTTTATAGATATAATATATTTTTTATTGTTGTCTGAATTATTGAATTTCTAGACGAAACTCAGTGACGCGGAAAAATGCTTGTATTCTATCTTTTATAAAGAATGGATAACCATTGTGAATTATTTAATATTTTTATATATGGTCTGTGCGCTGTTAATATGTGGATAGGCTATTTGTGGATTTGCTATTTCAACTGAGTAGATGAATAAATAAATAATTTGTTAAATAGTTTTGTGAAAAAAAATGTAGATACAAATAAATAGATGCAAAGATGCATCATTCTACATGTGTTTATACGAGGTCATTCAGTGCGTGTGTGTATATATTTTTTCTTTTCTTTTTTTTTATTTATGAAACGAATTAATGGAGCTGCGTTAATTATTGAAATATTTATTTGAAAAAAAAATTATTGAAATAGTATAGTAATAATAGTAAATTGTTACGAGTTTAATGATTAGGTTGCAAGGAATGTTCAGAATGTAATTAGTAATCTTTTTTTATCATTGCTGTTCAGAATTGTCTTTACATTTTATAAATAATAGTAATAATAATTATTATTATTGTATAAATATTATTTGATTTATAGTTGATCGTCCTGAATGTCATGAGGTTATATGCGTCAAATTATTATTCTATCAGGTCTGGTATCTGGTCGTTGTAAATAAAACTGAAAAAAAAGCTGAATAAACATCGATTTGTTTCTGTTTATGAATTCGTGCGTTTGTGTGTGTGTGTGTGTCTTTGTGTGTGTGAGAGATATGTGTCCGTTATGTTTGTAGTGTGTGTGTGTGTGTGTGTGTGCGCGCGCCAAAAATCACTGGCTTGTATGCAGTGGTGTAACTTCGAAGAATATTTGTTTCTAGGTTATGAGTTCGCGAGATGTTTAAAGTAAATAAAGACTTTTTAGTAACCTGCGTTCACTGACAGTGCATATATGTTTTCCGTGGGTTTAGTTTGTGACCTATACCCTGAGGCACCATTGTATGTATGTTGGCCTATTTTGCGACTTGCATGGCTCGAGTCTCGTTATTTTCCGTTTTGGATATATAAGATAGATTTTTTTTGGAGATAAGAGTTTGACGATCAACATTTCAAAATGGTGATGTTCATATATCCGATTAAACAGCGGTTGAAACATTAATCAGTTAATAATCAGTGTTACATACATTTAGAATATGATCATGATAACATTTCAGTGTCACTCCATGATAGTGAATTGCAGTTATTTGGAAAAAACCTTACTTGGATACAAAAGTATCATGAAGAAATAAACAAAGGGATATCAATATTTTATTTTCCATTTTCCGGATCCAGACATGCTTTCATTCAAATTAACGGCTGGGCCAGAAAGATACAAGTTAAAATTTCAAACATCGAGGTTTTCACTTCTTAGAAATTAGTGAGAAAAAGTTAAATAATAAATTTATGAAGTTTATGTATGAATTAGAAATCGGTTAAATCGATTACCAAATAAATTTATAGTTAAATAGATTGAAAACTCACTTAATGATGACTGAAAAATTAAAATGAATGATAATTTAGGTTGCATTTTGAAAGATTTTCAGCCATAAAATTATGTAAACTATAAACTTTATAGTCTAAAGTACATGATAGACACAAAATAAAATACACGGCGCTTTGGGAAGAGGAATAATATTTTTTTCTCTGATGTTTTTAGCGCTGGAATTCCCTGTGTTTCACTTACTAAGTCTAAAATAAGAAGAGACAAACGTTTTGCTGGTTCTCACCAAACCACAAAATGGCTGATCTGGGATCAGTTGAAATGTTACTTAGTGAGGCTAACTGTAAATTATTCAATAATGCCCTCAATAATGATAAAAATCGCGTGGCCAGCGACTTGAAGATTTCTTTCAAAGATGTTGAGTTCCGTTTTATTGGAGAAAATGATGAAAAAATTGTAGTTCATTACGATCAATCAAAACACACTGATGGCGATCTGAAGATGAAATTGCTCGAATACACAGGTGCCTGGAAGAGTTGCACCTACACCCTTGTCGAGAACAAGAAAGAATTTCTACAGAGTGAAATTGGAAAGTCCTACGTCCGAAAATTCAACTCGGAATCGGAATTTGTTGTTAAACCTCATGGAGAAAAAAAAAAATCTCGAAGTAGTGACGGTGGTAGAGGTGATCGTGATCATGAGGAAAAGGTATTTGGGTGTTTAATTATTCACCAAGATTCATATACCCTTTCAGCAATGTCAAAATCTGATTACATTTTGCTTAAAACAAAACTAGACAGAGACATGCATGAAGAACATGTTAAACTTTTTGATGAGACCACAAAAAAATTGTTGGAAAGTGAAAAGTTGAAAAGTCTGCTAAAAGATTTTGACAGCAAAGTATATATAAAAGTTACATCAGATCACATTGCTTTGGTTGGAAATGCTAACACAGTTACTGATTTAAAGCGTAGAATTGAACATTATTTCGAAAATGAGTCTAGCTCCATAAAAACAGTTGCAATAACCACGGGACAGTACCTTCTTCTCAACAAATGCCGTGAAAAGTATACTATCTTTTTTAGCCATGTCTCTTTTAATACTTTTTTGATTGGTTTTTTTATTAACATCAAAAAACTAATTAACATTTTTTAATAAATTAAATTGAATATTAAATCTATTAAAAAAACCAACCGATTTCAATTGAATTTTTAACACTATTAATTAATTAATTAACTAATATATATTTTTTCAGACTTCTCCCAGATAATGTGACATCGGTCCTCTATAAAGACCACATAACGCTGAACGGTACAAAGTCTGAACTTCAAATGGCTGAAAAAACATTCAATGAAAATTTCATCCAAAAGTACAAAAGTCACTTTTTTGACGTCATCGAAAGAGGTTTCATGCTGATTGGTTGAGAAAGAAAAATTAATTTATTTTTCATATCAAATTATCTCAACACTATTAAGATAATAATAATAATGCATTCTTTAGAGTCTAGACATAATAATTATAATTATAACATTGTTAATTATAGCAATGCAAATAAAAATAAAATAAAGGTTTGAGAGCAGAATCTTTCAGTAAGGAGTTTGGCATGGCATATGATCACATAGCATTAGTTGAAAGTCAGTACAATTGTGCTGTTGAGATCACTGATAGGAGCATTGATGGTGACAGGTTAATGATTTCTTTATATTTTATTTATTGTTTATTTATAAATTTTTTCTTAATTTTTGAAATTTACGTCCTAACTCGGGGAAACGGGTCTCTGGACGCAAAACGAAGATTGATTGATTGATTGATTTTTGAAATTTAATTTTGATGTATTATATTTCCTATATATTTATTTCCTGTAAATTATTATTAAATTTTATAATAAAACTCGGTGGCAAGTTTATTAACAAACCAAATAAAGTTGTTCAATTTCAAATCAGAGAAAAAAATGGCGAAGATGAAGTAGATGATGATGATGATGAAACTAATGAGAATGCATCACCACAAACATCTTCCCAAGTGGATATTCAAATCTTAAAGGGCAGTATTGTCCAATGCAAGGTTGTCTGGGATGGAGGAATTTAAATAATGAATGACTGACTAAAAGAATAAATAAATGAATGACTGGCTGAACATAACTTCTATTAAAATTATTTTAAAAATTGCTATAAATTTTCATCCGAATTGCAGTTAAAAAGAAACTCGTAAAAAACATTTTTACTTCTTATAATAACGTAAAAGACAATAAATTTTTATTTTATTAAAAAATGTATATGCAAATTTTGTAGGGAACCGACATCCTGGTGAATGTCTTGAATGCTGACCATTCAAATATGACTGGAGCAATATTTGCAGAATTCCTTAACACATGTGGAAATGATCTAAATTATGTAATTTGTGATAATTTTATTATTTGTTATTACTATTAGTTATTAGTATGACTTATATTGTCGATAAGATACAACCGTGAGTTTTTTCCAGTAAGATCTTTTTTGTCATCTCTGTTCTACTATGGAGTTATTTTATTTTGTAATTTTAGGATCTAGCGAGGCAAGGTTTTCCAACCGAATTCAGCTCAGAGCCATTCATCACAGACGCAGCAAAATATAACAACAGAGTGAACTGTAAATGGATTTACCATGTCTACATGGAACGTTTGGATAGAAGGTTTAGGTCTAAGAAACAGTACATTGTGAGTTGATGGATGGTTTGTGTTGCGCTGATTGTTATTTGATGATGTTTCGTGTTTGAGAGAAAGTTGGGAATTGATCAAAATTAAATTTTAAAATTTGAAATTTTAAATAAATGCAAAAATTATTAAATAAGTTATTAAAAGCAATAATAAGTGAGTAAAACGCGAAACTACAAACAGACTTTGAAGAAGTGCATCTTGAAATGTTTGCAAAACGCCAAGAGACAAAACTGCAGCAGCATATCATTCCCAACGTTTGGTTGCGGCAAGCTGGGCTACGATCCAAACGAGGTCTGCAGGAGTTTTATCTTTGCAGCTACCGAATTCAAAGAACCCATTGAAGTTATTATTCTATTGGAATTTCAATTGTGGCGATGAATATTTTATAACGTTATATTAGTTAATTTGGTAAGTTTTATTTGTTTCAGATGACGAGTTTTTAATCTTTTTTAATTAAAATTGACGGCCTTTACTTATTTAATTTTTTTGTATCAAATTTAGATACACAGAATTTTACTGTCGATAATTTATGTATTTGCTGTAAAAAAAACTTTGAGGTATTTATCGTTAATGAAATTCATTCCCATTCTTAAATTTCTTTTGAGAAGATTAAAATCTTGACAAAGGAGGATAGAACCGAGGAAATTTTCAAAAGGACCTTGATGCGGAGAATGCAAAGACGAAGCATATCATCGTTTGCAAGTCCAAAACCAAAGAGTAATGTTTTTTGATTACCTAACAAATTTAGTTAAGATTAAGTATGATTATGTGATGCCAATAGCATCACGTACTTTAAATATGGTTTATTTTCGTTAAATGTCGTTATTTTTTTTTAAGAACTTGGCAGGAGAAAAAATTCTTTAAAATTTGAGAATAGCGAAGAAAAGATAGTTACATTTACGATCCACAGTTTAATGGGAGAACGTGTTGATGAGGTTGAGCAAGATATAAGACGGAAATTGGATATTGTTTGTGGTTGCTTGTCCATTGAGCATGATGTTTTGGCTTGCTTTGATGAAGTTTCTGATGAGTTCAAATCCAAACTCATGAAGACACTCTCATGTGTTTCCTTTCAAAAAGGTAAATTGAAACTGCCTTTATCCATTTATGAATTTATTTTAAATTGATTATTTTTTTTTATTTGTGGATGTTTTTATTTTTCCCCTTTTTGCATTCCATTATTACATTTCTGCGAATCTTCACTAATAGAATGTTTTGTTTGAAGATGAAGGAAGATTGATAATATATGGAATAAGCAGTCACCTGCTGAAATTGAAGAACGAGATTGAGGAACTGTGTGCGAAAGAAGAGAAAAATTTGAACGATTTGGACTACAAATACGAAGGAACAAAGGCCTCTCTTCCAAAAATTATCCAATTAGGTAGAATGATCTTTTCACATTATTTTAGGCCTCATGATAGTAAGTCCAGCACGGGACCTCGGAAGAAAGTTTTATTGATCAAAAGTGATGAAAAGTATAAGGTTAGCAAGTTTTTTTTATTTATCTTGATACCTCTGGGTAGTGCAGAAGATATAATCACAGTTTCGTTCAATTTGTTAATAATTAATTATTTTGTTAACGTTTTTCAGGCAGTGGCTGAAATGGTTATGAAAACTTGGAATGCAAACTTAGCTCGTTTGGGTGCAGATGCCAGAGGTTTGAGACATTCGAACATTACCATCAGCAACATTTATCTGAACGAGAATTTAGATATTTACAAAGATTTTCGGACTGCAAAAAAGGGTTTCATGGAAAAATTTCAACAGAAAAATATAAAAAATCCATTTCCCGATCTTAATTTGAACAGGCCTCAAACATGTGGTGAGTTGCGACAATGCCGATGTTTGTAAATGAATGATCATGCCTAACCCAATGGTGACCCTGGTTAATTAAAAGATGATTTAGTTTTATTCATTAACTTACTTGAATCCTTAACAATGGAAGGATACAAATTGATTCTGTGATGTTTTAAATTACAAATTGATAGATCTTCAATAATATTCAACAAATTAATTCCCAATGAAAGATTACGGGCATTACTTGAACAGCCAGCTGGATAAAGAACTGAATGAAGTTTATTTATTCCACGGCACCAAGGAAGAACACGTCGACAAGATAATGCACGCTGGCATTGATTGCAGGTTTTCATCCACTAGGACCCTCTTCGGTCCTGGGGCTTACTTTGCTGAGAGTTCTACTAAGGCCGATCAATATGCTGGTTGGTTGGTGGATGATTGATTCGTTGGTTGGTTGATTGATAGTTTTATTAGTTTTTAAAAATTTAATTTTTTCAATATTGATTCCTTATTGGTAGGTAATTCTATTTTTTGATGTTCTATTTTTTTGAGTTTTTAATTGTGATTAATTTTTATGTTAATAAATTTTTTTTAATTTTTTGTTTTTATGCCCTTTTTCATTAAAATAAACTTTAAATTTGTTTTTTTTTAAACAATAACTTAAATAAATTTTATAAAAGACAACAAAGATGCTAGAAAACCGATAGGAGCCAAAATGTACATGATCCTCTCGAGGGTTCTGCTGGGTAGTGCCTACGTCTGCACCTCACCTTACGGTTTCAAGAAGCCGCCGTGCAACCAGCCACAGTGCGGCAACATGGACGGATGCTCGCTACATCAATTTCACGACTCCGTCATCGGTACGCACAAAGACCCTAAAAATAAGTTGGTATTCAAGGAGTACATAGTCTACGATAAAAATTACTCATACCCGGAGTTCCTAATCGAATACGTTCGATACTAATTTTTTTTTTAATTTTTACCATCTTTGAAAATTACATTGAAGTGGCATTAGATGGGCGTTGTTGGATTTGTTACTTGTGATAGGTTGGTTGGTTGATTGGTGTTTAGTCATGTTTTTGATTCAGTTTTGGCTGTGTAAATTGGAACGAGAAAGAATTTAAAATGATCAACACTTAAATTTATAACACTTAAAATTGAGATCTTCGTCGTTTGCAGCTTGGTATGTAATAATAAAAGTTAAGTCGAATCAAGGCGTTTCGTATTTATTTGCATATTTACAATAATAAAACGCCATTGTCGGAACAATGACATTATTTACAATCATTTGTTTCATCAGCACCACAGAACGTCCAACTTACTACACTCTTTCACCACATCATTTGCAAAATTAAAAATAAATTCAACTCTTAAACGTTGAAAGAATCCTTAATATTGTAAAAAAATGCCGATAAAATTATTCAGTTCGGTTGGACCATCTTATGAATAAATGAATAACGAGAGAATATTAATAAAAATATTTAACTACCGCCATAAAATGATCTTAACATAACAACTGCAGACTTTCTTCTGATTAGAACACTAAAGCAACAAAGCATCAATACGTCGCATTATAACATTCAACGGTATTTATGTAACTTTAGCTACATGTGCAGAAACGTATCACATCGTTTCGTCGTCATAAGACCCCATCTTCGTTATCGGCCTCATTACGATATGGCCTTGCTGAGTACAAGGTCAATGTTTGAGGTGGGAATCCATCTGAGATCTTCATAATAAAAAATGAGTCCCCTATCAAAGTAGGTCAACAACTTTCCGGCCCTGTACACCTGCTTGCCGTCGTGAATCTTATTGGCTGCTGGAACGAAGACCACGCCCACCTCTTGACAGCGATCGACCAATCGGTCTTTGATGTTTGTTGGTTGCGGGGGTTGCTGGTAGTAGTAGTTGTCCGACCTCTGCTTCTGTTTGCCAAATAAATAAATAAGTTTAGGATTATTCGTGGCAATAATTATGCCTGCATCGTAAAAGTAGATGCGTGGCTGGCTGAACTAACAAACGAATGAATGTGTAGAGTTAATTATTTTCTTAAATGAACTGTGCGTTCAACACGAATGAAAGTTCAACGTAGACTACAAAAATCATTCAGTATAAGACAAAAAAAAATTGCCTCAAATCAGAATTAATTTTTTAATTAAATTAAGCAAATTAATTAAGATCGGAAAACTAATTGCCAACACTGTTAGAAGAAAAAAAATCTCTGCCAAACCTCTCTGTCGACTGGAGCTCCTCCGTCGAGTTCCTTCCTTCGTTCGTTCGAGATGAAGTAGGCCATGTTCTCACGAGCGCCGGGCTGGTTGGTCATGTGGTTGTTCGACCCACCCATCACTGACTTGTTCAGCATCATCAGTGCTTCTCTCAGACATTCTGTCATTGAGAAGAAAAATTTTTTTTATTTCTAGTATTCGCGTGAGGAATCAGCACATCAAAGAGTTTTAGACATCTTCAAGTTAGCGAATGAGACGGAAGTTCACGTGGAATATCAACGCGTGGAAGCAATGTGACTGAGCCAACGTAGGTATAATTTAATCATGAACAAACATATGAACGCACAGTGCAACACAAAACAACATCGCAAAAATCACAAACCACACACACACACACACACACACACACACACACACACAACCAACCTCTGACTGTCACATCGGCAGCCAAGCTTTCAGGAATCATCTTCTTCCAATTGGTGTACCAGTTCGTGACGTCTTCAAATTTAATGTTGTTTGAGACCAGCCAAGAGTCCAACACCCTCAACCACTTCGGGAAGAAGTTTTCACGGAGGGCTGATGCCATGTGCGTGGTCGGGATCATGTCGTGCCAACTCATCACCCAGTTCCATGGTTCTGTTTGTGTGTGGAAGATTTTGTTGAATGTTTGTTTGTCCTTCAGGTGAATGTCAGTTTGTGACGGAGAACAATGAAGAACATAATTTGACCAGCGAGGTGTGATCAATTTCAAAGAAAAATAAAACCGAAAGTCAATTCATCCTGTTAGGATTCATTACAAATATCAAAGACACTGCATTAAAAATCGAAAATAGCAACAGGACCACTATCACCGACGTCAACGAAACCACCAAGCCGACACAACACAACAACTGCACCCCACCCCCACGACACCAACCTAGCTGCTGATGCTGTGGGTG